AACACCATCAAAGAATGGTAGGTCCAATATATGTCTGAATTTTATATCCAAGACATTAAACTCATTGTACATTGATATATTGAAGGAAAAATTAATAGAGAAAAAACTTAGAACATCTTTATAAAGGTTGTTGGGAAAATAGTACAAGAAGAATTTCACTTTCCTAAATCACTTACCCAAACAATTTGCAATAAAACAGGCACCAAGAACTGAGATGGAAACAACAGCAACAAGCCATGGGATCATCAGAGAATGCTGGCAACCTTGCATCAGGATGAAGGGGAAAATAAATGGGTTATCATCCATTCTACTACAAGGTCTAGGGAAGTCAGTGCCACCTGGGAGAAAGAAAACTAAATAAAAGAGCATTCAAAATATTCTAGATCTAAAGAAGATTTGAAATATTTCCTTGGGGTAATCAATGTTAGAGCTTATTGGCAAATACAAAGAAAAAAATGTTAACTTTTTGTAATTTTGGAACAGGAATGGTTTTCATAAGCAAAGTGAAAAACCGAAAGTCCATAACAATGATGTTTGAATACTTAAAACACTAGAACTGCCATATAACGCACTATGAAAAATAAGAAATATGGAGAAAACTTGTTACCATATCTGTGTCTAGATGACAATTAAGAATTTAAAAATCAATTCAAAAGCTAAGCAAAAGTGTGAGCAGAAATTTGCTGCAAATTTAATTTGTCAAAATTATAAATAACTATTAAACAAATAAAATCATGTGGGAAACTATAAGTTAAGATATTAAAGTATGATTTCCAGTATAAAACCTTAAAAGTAAATTGAAATGACAAAGTGTGGGATGTGAGAAACTAAGCATTTATGGTGAGAAAATAAATACTGATGCTGAAACTGAAAATTAGAAAAATCTTTTAGAAGTATCAAGGTAATAGTATTCATCAATTTTATTTTTTTACTTTTTGTATTTTAGGGGAGGGTCTATAGGGTGTTCAGGGTCTTATTACTAGATCAGACTTGTAGTGATCCTCCTGTTTACAGCATCCCAAGAGCTGGGATTACAGGCATGCACCACCATGCCGTCTCAACTGCCCTCTCAGCGCACCCCAGAAAGGGGCCAGCACGTCAGGCCCAGAGACCAAAACTGCAGCCCCTGTGCCTGCTTGCAGGAGCTTCAATCTACTGAACTATTTGCCAGGCCCTCATCAATTTTAAATGAATTATATTTGCTACCTAAATTTCATATCTAAGACTTTCATAGAGAAATAACTGAAGCCGTCTACATAAAAGGATATTCACTGCAGTGTTTTTAGAAGGAAACACTCTGGAAATCAATATTTACATGTTGACAATATAATTAGAAATATCAGAATTTACAAAATGAAAAGAAGCTCTATGATGAAATTCTACCCAATTGTTACATAATCATGTGTATCAGTATGTATTGAGATAAAATTTTTTCAAGCCATACTCTTTCTTCCATGAAAAGGAATTTTGCTGTACTATTGTACATTGAGAATCTACCTACTAAAGTTGGACATGGCAGGCTGGTGAGAGAACCAAAATTGGAATTTTTAATTCATATATTTTCTCATTCATTCTTCATATGCCTCAAAAGTATTTTTTTATGTTCACACAATGTAGCTCCTTTGAAATTACTTCAATAGAACATAAAACAAGTCAGAGCCTCTGACACATCATGATCCTAAGATCATGTGTGTTTTCTATATCTTCCATCCCCCTCTTCTCTTTCAGAGAATCTTCCCCATTGATCCCCTTCCTTTCCACCCTTTTCCTCTTTCTGGTTTATCGCCTCTATTAGTACAACCTATATTTTACAAAAAAGCTTCTGTTACCTACGTATTTGAATCTCTCCCTGACTTCCCTACTCCCTGGTTATCTGCATTTTCTTCCACCTCTTCCTTCCCAACACCAGAATATTCAGTATTCAAAACAATCATCCACTCATATTTTAAGATCTTAATCATAAAACCATCTGCTTTTTAAAATTAAAAAGAGAGAAAGAGAGTACCCACTTTTTCCCTGAGGGTCTGCTAGCTGCATTTTGTGTTTATTGTCTTCTTGTCCTATGATTGGGAAGACCAGGAACTTCTGTTTTTACCCAGGGTATGTGTCTACATGGGTGGAGGAGTATATTCAGAAACACATAACATTAAACTTCCATCTTACCTAAATTTGTAGATTAGGCAGTTTGAGCACAAAACTTTGCTTCAAAGGAGTCTTTCCAAAGACTGGGGGTTCCTTTGGTTCAGTTCAGCAGATAGTGCAAAGCAAAAAGGAAATTAAGAAAGAAACTCCCAAAATACTCAGTAAACGTTCTATAAATACATTGAGATCCCTATGTGTCATATGAAATTTTTCAAATTTTTCAGACAAAATATTTAGCAATACCCTAAAAAATGATACCTAAGCAAAAGTTAGCTAACATCTCATCTTTCTTTTTCCCTGGATTTTATATTTTTAAAGGTAACTATACATTTGAGACAAACTCTGTCCTAGAAAGTTCTGAGTTGAATGAGACACTGCATACACATGGTAAAATACAATATGAATAAAGACTAAACGTTTTCAGTGAGCAGTTTGTATGGAAAGACACAAAAGTTTTTGAGTAAACATTGATGAAGAGGTGGTGGAGCTATTAATTAAATTCCAAATCTTCCTCTGTGAGACAAAAATAGTCTTATTGAAGCAGAGATAAAGAAAATGTAAGATTCTGTGAGAAAGACGTCAGTTCCTGGCTTCACATACAATAGTATTAAAGGGTGAATATCTGTGTCTCTCCAAAGTGTCTTTGTTGAAATGTGAATGATCTATACAATGGTGTGCTACACAGAACCTCGGAAAGGTAGTTAATTTTAGCTGAAATCATGAGCATGGGTTCTTTCTGGTGGAATTAGTTCCTTTACAAAAAGTGATCCAAGTGTTTGTTCTCTCCCTCCTGTTTCATTTTCACATGTGAACATACAGCGAGAAAAGGGTCACCATCTACCAGCGTAGAAGAGAGCTGGACCACAACCTCACCATGCTGAAACCCTGATGTTAGATTTTCAGCCCTCCCAATTGGGAGATATGGATGTCTTTCTTCACCCAGTGTATGAGGCTTTGTTACAGTAGCCCAAGGTATCTAAGACAACTATCTAACAGTTTAGAGATCCTACTTAAAGTCAGGTTTTCAGAATATAGACCTTTCTTTGTATTCTTCCTTAAAATATATTATCTAATATATTACTTTATTTATTTATTTATTTATTTATTTATTTATTTATTTATTGTATTTAGTACAGGGTCTACAGGGTCTCACTACACAGACCAGACTTATAGTGATTCTCCTGTTTTCAGCCTCCCAAGTGCTGGGAGTACAGGCGTGCCACCATGCCCAGTCTCAATCTCCATCTCAGTGGGCCTTGGGGTGGGTCCAGCACAGCAAGCAAGGAATTGAATCCCAGCCCCTGTGTCTGCCTAAGCAGATGCTTTAATCTGCTGAGCTATCTGTCCAGCTCTTATCTAATATTACTTTAAATATGTATCTGGATCAATAGATAGTGATCTTGAATAAAATACTTCATTACTATATTAACCTGGAGTGAAAACATAAAATTATGTTTGTTAGATCTTGCTTGTTGATCCATTCTGCCAGTCTGTGTCTTGTGATTGGTGAATTGAGATCATTAACATTGATAGTTATAACTGATGTGTGTTGACTTATCCTTGTCATCTTATTTTCCTGTCGTTGCCTCCCCCTCTATCTTTCCTTCCCTCTGTTTAATTGTTTGCCTTGCTTAGTGGATTTCTTCTGTTCAAGTTCATGGATTTGTAGTTCTTATCTCTTTCTAGAATATCCTTCAAAACATTTTGGAGTGCTAATTTTGTGGTTATAAATTCCCTCAGATGTTCTTTGTCATGGAAGTATCTTATTTCTCCATCAGTTCTGAAAGATATTTTTGTGGAGTACATTAACCTGGGTTGAAGGTTGTTTTCCTTTCTTTAGACCTTGAAATACTTTATTGCAAGCTCTCTTTGACCTGAGGGTTTCTACTGAGAAGTCAGCTGTGATTCTTATGGGTTTCCTCTTTAGGTGATTTGTTTCTTTTCCCTAACAGCTTTCAAGATTCTATTCTTGTGTTTAATTTCTGAAATCTTTACTAGGACATGCCTTACTGTTGACTATTTTTCATTATGGCTAACTGTAGTTATATACACCTCACTTAACTATGTGTCAAATTCTTTTTCTCCACCAGGGAGGTTTTCTTCCATGATGTGGGTGAATTGTTTTTATATCATTTTTTGTTATCACCTGCTTTTTCTTTGACTCCAATCAATATCAAATTCTTCTTTGCCTCATCTGGCAGCTTCTGTATTTGTTTCTCATGGTCTCATTTTCTTGTAAGAGATTTTTGTTTTCATGATCAGAAATGCAAGCCTGTTTTCTATATCTGAGATGTTGTCCTCACATTGGATTAATTGGCTGTGAACACTTTCAATGGAATTTTTATTGTCCTGGACATTTGCTTGAATCTGCCTTAGGGATCCCGTTTCTTTCCTATTCTGAGCATAATGGCTTCCATACATTTTTAAGGTCCTTTTATTTTATTTATTTATTTATTTATTTATTTATTTATTTATTTATTTATTTTCTGTACCTGCTCTAGAGTCACAAAGCATGATTTTCACTGTGGACAACACCTCTGCAGTTATCTGAGAAATTATTTCTGATTTGATTTTACTAGTGTATCATTCAATTGCTTTGCTGTTACTTCAGAGAGGGTGGGTGAGTGGCTTTCAGATTGTCCACTTTATGCCATCTGTGTTTGCCTTTGGTGAACTGGAGGTCTGGGGCTACATTTGGTTTAGGCGTCTTCTCATTTTTCTTTCCTTATTTAGTTTAATTCATGGGCAATGTTTGTTAATTTCCCATGGTGAATTGCTTTTTTGCTAGTATTTACAACCTTTAGGACTCAGCAACACAAGTGCTTACCTGGCAAGTGCAAGGTTGTGAGTTAGATTCCCAGCACCAAAAAATAGAAACATCTAGAAGAGAATAGAACCCTTAGGAAATGGCTACTTCTCTGAGGTATATTTCAACTTTAGCTGGATTTGGAGTTTTGAATTTGTTGCAAGATCCTGCCTCTTCAGTTTGTTAGGAATAAAAAGTTGAAAAGTTCATGCTTGTTTGTTCCAGTTCCCAGTTCTTTGGCACTGTGCTAGAATATTATCTAAGACCCTTACTCAATCTCAATCTTAGAATAAAAGGAAAAAAAGCTATTTCAAATAATCATGTCATTTTTAGCTATTGTGATAATAATGCCAATAAC